TCCATCTTCTCTTAGCAAAAACTAAAGTATCTGCTAAACCGGTCCACCGTCGAATTTGTGCCCTCGGAACGTCATCCCAGAGCGATACGTTGCACACTCTTCGTTCCATCGCTCTTTGCATGATAATCAGATTATTCTGCTCGGCTTTAGTAGCAGACTAACATTCAGCGCCTCAGATCACGGCGGCTAGTGCGGTGGAATCGAGCGGTTCTTTCTTCGCCCGCATAGCCAGATGACTGTCGGGCAGCGATGAGTAATTCTGTTCAAGCTACTGCATGTCACCGGTATGGAACTTTAATTTCCACAACACGATATACAGCTTACGATCATAAGTGGTAGCAAAGTAGATACTAGCAGAGGAATTTCAAATTATGATATATTAACATGGTTGCTAAGGGACAATTACTGGCCACAACAGAAGCTCTATGATCACTGAAAAAACCTGAAACTACACGACGTCTTTCTGTTCACCAGAATTTAAAGCTGTCATTTGATAAAAGCATTTTGTGAAAACTGCTTTCCGGCCGACTTGAAACGGCGGAGGAAAAAATGGAGTGACGATCAGCATAACCGGATTACCAGTAGAGCGTTACCAGTTGGCTCAGAACAGATACAAATCGGAAGATCTACTGCCAAACACAAGCGTGAATGTTGGTCATTGAAGATGACACAAAACAATGGCTCCGTGACCTGATCGTTCCAGAAATTTGTCACTTGACTGATTTAACCACAAGATTTCACTACACAGGCTGTTCGGTTGTCGTCAGGAGTGTAGACTCAGTTCGTCATTATTAGCCGTTTTCAATTTTTTGTTGGATGAAGATCGTCCAAACGTCGTCCCAAGCTTTTATCCACACTACTCCAGAAAATTTCTTCGGCTCATTCGATTGTTGGGAGGTCTTCTCACGGGGTGTTTAGGTGTTTAGGCTTTTGGGATCCAGCCCACATCCATATGGTCCAGCGATAATCGGTTCTTCTTAACCAAAGTGTTTTGTCTATTGCCATTTCTGCATCTTCAATCTTGCAATGATATCGCAGATTCCCGTCTGTGCTCTTACCCCTTCGTCCATACCGAAATCCGTAAATTAAATAAATCGGCATAATTCTGTGACCAGACCTTGCATTTTTTGTGCCATTTATTGCTGATTTATATAACATTTATAACTAACAAAGAACTTTCAATGATTTACTCCTCACAGAAATACAATGTGACATATTTCCGTTTCGGCCAGTACTTGATTCATTTTCGAGGCCCATTTCCAAAATCGGTATTGTTTCTTTCTTGCTGCTGTTTTAACAGAGCAACATCAAACCATACAGCATTAAAGTTTTCATCCCTGATTGGCGTATTTGTCTTTCTTTGTTACCTTGCCAACGTCATTCATCAAGTAGTCATTTCTACTGATCACCAATGGTGATTTCCAACTTCCTTACGTGTACCCAGCTTCCTTTCAAGCCGCAGTATCAAAATTATTCATGCAATTACTGCTACGCAAATAGCCACAGGTAAAATTGATGAATATAAATTATTGGGATCTGTGCAAGTTTTTTTTCCACTTTCTTCTCCATTAGTAAAAACAATCATCTCACGTGCATGAGGCAAAACTGTTTGAATTTGAGGTTCACAAACCTATCCCCTATTTTCCTCCACCAATAATAGCTCGTAGCAGCCGGTGTCTACCGTTATCCGATTCTTGTTAGGTCATTGCGCTTGTCAGAGATTCCGAAACCCCGGTAATATCGCTGAATCGCCGAGTATCTGAGTACGGGGTTACAGGTGAGGCCAGAGGAAGAAAAAAGAAAGTCTGTAACCGCTAGAATGTCGGACTTCCTTACCTCTTAACGATATGGTCCTTTTCCATGCCCTTCTTTTCATGAAGTTGTTGGTGGGGGCTCATCTCCATTCCCATGCAATCAGCCACGAACCAGCTACGTAACAATCATAGCGCGTAGTCTTCTGTTTTCCTTTCACACAACGTTACTCACTTATCAACCTCCGAGGAAGAAAGGCGAGTGATTTCAACCGGAACTCCAAGTCGGGGCCTCTCTTTTGTGATTCCGAAGCTCTATCGACTAAAGAACCACAATCTGAAGCAACACGTGACAAGTTTCTCGCTGAAAACAATTCGTGGTTAAGACAAAGTTGCTCCTCCATCAGAATCTAACCCAGAAACTCTAGATTTCCAGCCACCTCTTAGACACTGTGCTACCACGCCATTATAACTGAATAGACCTGAAAATAGCATCCATTGACTGCGTCATCGTACATATCTATGCGTTTCTCGATTTCAAGTAGATCCCTTTGGCTAACCTAACTGGGAACTCAGACAGATTTTACCACTCAGTGGACTCTTGTACTAAGTATCTGTTATCCTCCTCATCGAAGGCTAACAACGCTTAAAGCTTAGACCGCAGTTTGCAAAAATTTACCATACACTAACAGTTTGGAATTGTATCTCAAGTTTACCCAGAGGCGTCATTAACAGCTATTCCGGGTCAAGTAATTCGTTGGCGTCTGACAAAGTTTCTTTCATCCACCGACAATGTGTGCTGATTTACTGTCATTAAGACAAACCGTGACCTTCAGGTACCGAGGTAACAACCATCTAACAGCTATCCAATTCCGCTGGTAACCGAAACGCTTCAATTTCTGTTTCTGATGCCGGCTTTACTCGGCACACGCGCAACGTCCCTTGCTTTTAGTCGTCTAGGGCCATCATTTAAGCAGGCTACAGGTCCATGGTATTTTGAGCATTTGCATGAATTGCATGCAAGGCCGCATATCTGCATTAAAAGCTTTTGCTATTAAATCTAAA